ATTTCCAACCTCAAGAAAAGGTACTACGGATTTTCTTTCATTTAGTATATTTTTAAGAATTTTTAATGTTACATAAATTTATTAATATTGTTGTGTCATGTGGGACATAGAGTCTAAATTTGACCCGATGAACCATGGTTGCTATTCGGCCTTTGAGTCATATGGTTGTGTAACGACCCCCGCCGTCAAATTATTCATAGAGAGCCACCACGACGGAGCCGACAGTTGACCGTGCTCTCCGAAGCACATACCATTGTTTTTTGTGAACGTATATGTTTGATTCCGAAGCTGATCTTAGCGCAGTGGAAGCAAGTTAAAGTTATCTTAAAATCTAAAACTAAATGATCGATCAGCCTCGGAACAACATTTGACTACGATTCGTAGTGTTCTTTACTATAGCTAAATAAAATAAATTTAATGAGAGAATTTTTGTTCCGGAAAGTTTCCGGCCGAGAAATTTTTGTTTCCAAAGTCTGCGACGGCTCTCTCACAATCTCCTACTAATATTTAACTGCACCACCACAGCTCATATCTAAAATAAATATACCAAGTTCCGGTTGTACTAAAGGTCATCAGGGTGGTGACCTCCACGTAATGTTGCTAAATCACTGCAATGAACGTACTTATACAGGACCTAGCAGCGAATTGCTTACCGTGCGAATTATGACGCCGCCGTTCCCTTGTAAGTCTAGTTTTTGACAGGAAAAAAGGTATCAGGGTTTGAGGAAGACACTTGGATAGGGATTTAGATACTAGACTTACGGCACCCGGGTACCAGCTCGCGTGGTACTCCGTCCAACAATTTTTCACAAGCACTTGAGTTCACTATTGTTCATAGTTCGGCCACGTTGGCCCTCAATCAAGAAACCTGCCCAGTTCGCATTCAAAGCGCACTACAAAACCACTATTCACTTGGTTTTACTACCGCACAAGAACAGGGAACTCTTCCCTGGCAGCAATTGCGCATGCGAAAAAATAAAACCCAGACTACTTAAAATATGTGCCTAACACCGGTCGCGCGAGTGACTAAAAGTAAGAGGTTATATCGCCGACCGCGCGATTCGCGGGGTTCGCAAAGCGAGAAGCAAGATGGCGTCGACCGAGCAGCCGGTGTCAGACGAAATGGCGCGAAACAATAAAACGCGCGCATACATGATGCGAAACTAAACAGTATATGATGCACATATGATTTAAAACTCATCTGGCTTTATTTTCGGAGTCCAAATTTAAATTTTTGATGCCATATTCAACTAAATGTGTTTTCATAAACTACTGTAACTTTAAAATTCGAAAAAATACGAAAATCCGTAGTACCTTTTCTTGAGGTTGGAAATGAGGATATTGTTCATCATACTAGGTATATTTCATAAGCAATGATTCAGTGGTATCACATCTGGACGAGCCCAAACTTGGCATGTTTCGAAAATTATTTCCTATTTAATTTGAAACAAATGACTTAAATATAATAAAGTGATATATTTTCAGAATCGGGTTAGCAAGACCTTTCATTTGATACCACACATGATAGGTTTTAAAACAAAAAGTTTTTTTTCCCATACAAAAAAAAGATGACGTCATAGCTCCTCGCAGGATTTTTTTTTAAATTGTGTACTACGGGTCAAATCGATTTCTTTACCCTAAAGATTAAGTGTACCAAATTTTAGAACTCTTCTCTCAGGTGCAGCATGTTCCATACATTTGGCTTTCGAGCCAGTAGGACTATATCCAAAAGGGTCATTTTGCGAATTAGACAATAAGCCCTGAGTTTTTTAAAATAATACAACAAAGTTTTTGAATGCTTCTTTTATTTGAGAACAATATATTAGGCGAACGCATGGAGCCATGGTCATGTCTGAAACAGAACACAAAATGAGTTTATTATATAATACATTATCGTCGTGGGGAATAAGAGACCAATAAATATCCGAATAATATTGTTTTCCAAAGTAAAAATTTAAATTTTTGTGTAGTCTAATAGTTAGGTTCACAGTTAGACAAACTTATTTTATTACCCATTTAGGGGTCAAAATATTTAAATTGCTGAATGAATTAAATAATTTTTGGGTTTTTACCCGAATCTCAAATTTAATAACATACCCACTTATTGCCGCAAAAACCATTTTTTTACCCTTTTTACCCCTATTTAAAATTTAATGAAAATCCTTTTTTAGTGGATGGTTACGTGGTATATCTACATAATACCTAATATCATTAACCGTGTGATGCCGGCAGAGTAGTATAGCACCGCCCCCTCTCTTCCTGTGGGGGTCGTAAGAGGCGACCGAGGGATAAACCCGACCCAAACAGCCAGGGCCAACCGTATGGTGGCGGTTAATCCACCACAAAAGCATTCCCAAGGAGGGTTGACGTCTGGTAGGCGGCCGGTCGTAAATTAAGCCAAATCCTTTGCAACACGATTTTGTGTTCAAAACGTGTTGCGCCGACCCCAAGTAATTAGGATAAGGGCAGGAAGATGATGATGAGTGGATGGTTACGTGGTAGGTGGTAATAGTCCAAATTTCAATTAGCGTCAAGATGGCGGGATCATATCTCAAATATGAAATTAAAATATTGTCCGATTTAGTACCTAATTTGTACTATTTTGTACATCAAGTAAAAAAAAATTTACCTCTCAGTATCAAATGTTTCTAGCTGTAGAGTGCGTTTCATCAAATAGTTTCTCTTGCGTCATGTTGGTAGCACGTTGGTTGGTAGCATGTTGGTTATTAATTATACGGTGGCCATACGGCTTTCTAATGCTACCAACATGCCGCCAGAGGAACTATTTGATGAAACGTACTATATAGGACCAGTGGCGGACTAACCTCGTCGGATGCCCGGGGCGGTTAAGCCGTCGGATGCCCCCCAGCGACAGAAAATGTCCTTAATGTAAAACCCTTTTTAAGAACTTCATTATTGGTATTTAGGTAGGTACAATGGCGTATGTACAGCTTCGGATCGTGGGGGGGGGGGGGGGTCACAGCAGTACACCACTCAGGCAGAATATGCATTACGAGCAAAGGGAGTTTAACATTTGAGTTCAACAAAAACTTTTCACGTTAAAAATGCATGTGAGGAGATACACCGTACCTACCACCACCGCACCATCACTACACGTTATGCGAGCAAAGCGAGCTCGACACTTTGCGTTGAAAAGGAATGCGAGGAGACACACCGTGCTGTACCATCACTATGCACGTTATGCGAGTGAAGCTAGCTAGTTCTTTCGCATTAAAAAGGCACACCGTGCTGTACTATCACTACTAGTTATGCGAGCTCGACATTTCGCGTAAAAAAGACATGCGAGGAGACACACCGTGCTGCACCATGACTACACGTTTTGTGAGCGAAGCGAGCTAGACCATCCGCGTTAAAAAGGCATGAGAGGAGGCATACGGTGTTTGCTATCGAAGCGCTCGATATTGCGCGTTATAAATACATGAGGGTCACGCACGTTGTTAGCGAAAGAAACGAGCTCGATATTTCGCGTTAAAAAGACAAGCAGCGAGGAGATACGCCGTGTCACTTAATCTAATAATGTTTTTAAATATTTTAAATAAGCCTGCCCTAGCAGCGGCCGCTATCAAGTACTGGGGGCATCAAAATGGCCTCCGAACTCCTTTGATCAAATCGTAATCCTGGGGGGCAACAAAATAGCCTCTGAACACCTTTGATCTAATCGAAAAAAACTTTATTAACAATTAAATTCCTGGGGGCAACAAAACAGCCTTTGAACTCTAAAAGTACTGGGCTAGTATCAAAATAGCCTCCAAATTCCTTTGATCAAATCGTAAAACACTTTATTTACAATTTAAGTCCTGGGGGCAACAAAACAGCCTTCGAACTTTAACTCCTGTGATCAAATCGTAAATAAATTTAATTACGATTCGGTCCTTGAAGCATAAAAATGGCCTCCTCCGTTTTGATGCCCCACGGGACTTGCTGCCCGGGGCGGACCGCCCCCCCCCGCCCCTACCTTAGTCCGCCACTGTATAGGACCTATAATAGTACGTTCCCGGGGAACCACAATGCACGACATACGCAATGCACAGCAGGTTAACGCACGGCAGCGTATTGTACAGCAGATCATTGTACGACAAATACGGGCCCGGACCGATAATGTACAGGGGTGGAAATGGAATCAAAACAAATGACGTCACAGCGGATGTAGTGATGTGACAGTGTTGACTTTGATCGACTTATCGATTCATTATTCGAACATGACATGCAAGGCAACCCACGGAGGGGGGGGGGGGGGGCAATAGAAAAAACACATTTAACACAAATCCGACACAGTAGGTTAGGTTAGGTTAGAACAGTGACCCCCTGGAGCGAACGAAGTGAGCGACCAAGCTTACTAAAGAATATATTTAATGTAAATACCATATCGATTAAGTTAGAAATGCATATAATATTATCGATCTAGTCACATCACTATTCTACCACAACACGTGATGTCTCCATCCATCATGCCGTGCAATCCACCCCTGTACACTTTCGGTACGGGGTGATGGATGGCGACGTCCATTATCACGGCCATCACGTCGTACATTACTCACGCCGGTCTGCAATAATCAGTAGTCAGTCGTATAGTAATTATGGGCAAGTACTATCTTGTACATTTGCCGCCTCTAGCGTGGATGGGCTCCATCTACCGGGATAGTTTTGCAACTAATTCAGCGACTAATTCATTCTTTACAGATTGAATGTAGTCAAAGCGATGAAAACCGCGATAAATTGAATGCAAATTAAAACATCGTTTAGGTAAACACTTCTCAAATCCTGCCAGGTGAAAATTTTGGAAGTTTTCCAAAATTGTTTACCTAACACGCGAAGTGTTTTAAAATTTGGTATTCGCGTTATCGCGGGTTTTAATCGCGACTAATTCAATCTGTAAAGAATGATTAGTCGCTGAAATTACTTGCAAACTATGCCCGGTAGATGGAGCCCATCCACGATAGTGACAAGATATCTTCCATAATTTCGCGGGCTCGATTAGAACCGCGGTAGCCAGTTGGTTAGGCGTCGGCGCGATGCCGAAGGTCGCAGGTTCAAATCCTGCCTGCGGTGAAAATTTTGGAAGTTTTCAAAATTGTTTACCTAACACGAGAAGTGTTTTAAAATTGGTATTCAATTTATCGCGGTTTTCATCGCTTTGACTACATTCAATCTGTAAAGAATGAATTAGTCGCTGAATTAGTTGCAAAACTATCCCGGTAGATGGAGCCCATCCACGCGATAGTGGACAAGATATACTTCCATAATTTCGCGGACTCGATTAGAACCGCGGTAGCCCAGTTGGTTAGGGCGTCGGCAGTACTGATGCCGAAGGTCGCAGGTTCAAATCCTGCCTGCGGTGAAAATTTTGGAAGTTTTCCAAAAATTGTTTACCTAACACGAGAAGTGTTTTAAAATTTGGTATTCAATTTGTTTTTATAGTTACCTATAGTTACAGCAACCTTCGTGCGCGAATCTGACTCGCACTTGACCACTTTAATTTGTATTTGCTGACTGTTAAATAATCTTAATTCGTTGCTGGCGAAGCATGAATGGTACGACTTATAAGCTATATCTGCATATAAAGTGACCCATAGTTTCAAGCAACGTAGTCGTGCGTGAATGTGAGTCATTGTTAAGTTTCAAATTAGCGGGAAGGAATAATCCATAGGTACAAATCACTTTCCTCCCGGGGCAGAACATATTCAACAGTCAAAACTTTCGTATATCGGAGCGCATCTATAATATTTTTGCAGATACAATTTTAAACATGGCTGAATAGGCAATGTGCTTTTTAATTTATCGGTACGAAATAATTTAAAAAAAAAGCAGCCTAAAGCGTGTCTGACACGCTCACAAAAAGGGTTTCATAGTGAATGTTTGAATATCGGGTCTTTCAGCGCTACAAAGTTAATTTAGTTGCTGGTTTGTCTGTAGCTGTATGGTTACCAACCGCAAATAAAAAAAAATAACCTAAAGTATAAATAATAATCTTATGTAGTATAGTACCTACAGTATTCGTTATAATTTTCATGGTAACTTCATTCGAATTTTTAACGTGCTTACTTTAAAAGTTACATCTGGAACAAATTATGGCTCAAAAACACCCCTTTTAAAAGCAAATATCTCGAGACTGAAACATTTTAGAGACTTTGTTTTTAAAGAACCTATTCAACCCTTACTTTTAAAAAACCTATTCAACGATACCCTACTCAATATTACAGGAGAAACAAAACAATTTTTGCCCCCTTTCACATGTATGGGAAGGGGGTCCAAAAACATTTAAAACATTTTTTCTTAACATTTCTAAATTTGGGTCAACACGATCTATCTTCACAACAAAATTTTATGTCGATAGCTCTAAAACTGACGAAGTTATGAGGGCGCGGCATACAGACAGACAGACAGACAGATTTGACGAAATGATAAGGGTTTCTAGTAGACTTCGAAATCCTAAAAAGATACTCCAATTCGCAAATTTCCTTTGCATTTTTCGGAGCAAATTTTAGGTTTATTAAACTGTTTTGGTTTCACACAGTAGACTGTATTCCTCTTTTTCATTTTCATCCTAACAGGTGTATAGTGCAACTGTCTTATTATAATCCCTAATTAATTATACAGGGTAGTCCATAGAGTGACGTCAATATTTTTTTCACATTTTCACACCATGGGTTATCCGAAAATACCCCATGTATGTTCCGTGATTTTTTATAGCTGTTCTCGAGATCTAGATTTTTTTTCATCTGTTGACTTCGTATTGTGTGTTACATAGTGTTTTATACTGGGTTATTATCGGGCTTTCTGCACGCGGCAGTAAGTCCGATTACAAACTCGTGTGTTAAGACCTCAGCAGTTAGCAATCGGTTCGTTTTTCGGGCTGTTAGCGTATACTTACAATGCACCTACAAACTTATAATTATTAAAAACTTACCTAGCCACCGGCAACTGTGGCTGTTGACAAACATAAACTAATTTAGCACAAAAAAGGCATATCAATGGGCTCTTTCATCCATAACAAAAAGGTATAAGGTCCTATTAAATTCACTGCAAATATTTTTTACTCGTGAAATTGAACCACTTTGCCAAAATATGAGAAAAGAAATTGGACCTCCCATACAATCTGACACATGTTTTGGATATTTTTGTATTGGAGGCCCAAAATATTATATCATGTTTCGGAAAAACTTTATTAAGAAAAGGTGTTCAGTTTCACGAGTAGAACTTACCCTAAAAATATTTGGAGTGAATTTTGAAGGACCTTACCTTAATATAAAAAACTAGCTGGTGCCCGCGAACTTCGTTTCGCCAAGAGAAGTTTTTGAGCCGACAGAAGCGGCACATCATGCGAAACAAATTTTTCAATACAGACATTTTCGTATCTCTTAAGGGCGCCACACACAGGGCGCGTATGCTTGACGTGCACGTCATCACGCGCGTAGAGATGACGTTGTATCGTATGGGATTGTATGAGAGGCCTGCCTATGTATGCGTGCACGTAATCACACGAGTAGCACGGTGTGCGGTGCCTCATACAATCCCAGACGATACAACGTCATCTCTATGCGCGTGATAACGTGCACGTCACGCATACGGGCCCGGTGTGTGGCGCCCTTTAATATTTTGCCGAGTTCATGGTGTTCCGTCACGTAGGTAGACAGAGAGTACCTCCAGTGCTGATAAAGGTTCTCACTAATCATAAAATATGATCAGAACGTTTATCTTCCACCATACCAAACATCTAAAAACATCGCTTAATTTTTGAGTGATTCATGCACAATTTTTACACATAATGGTAAGTTTTCATTTTCGATGTTTGTCTCATGGTTATTATTTTATGCGTGATTAGTACGATTAGGGCATGCAAAGATAATGGTGATAACGATGATGATGAAATAACCTGGAGAAACCCCAGACTACCGCCGATGTGAGTTTGTTACTTGACTTTGAAAGGGAAAGCCCACTTCGATCCCTCCTGTTTCAAAGTCTGAGCGCCTGAGTTAGGTACATCTTGATGATATAGGTAGTTGGCTACAGTACCAACACCGGTGTTCTTTTATTATTTTTCTCAAACATGCTAGGAAATATGTCAATTTCTTTCAAAAAAACAATCCAGAAAGTTTGACATTGTCTGTGATTTTGTAATTTCTGAACGATTTCTTTTTTACACACCAGCAATGAATTCCAATACAACTTTTCTGGCGCGATATCGAAATCGTTCAGAAATTACAAAATAAAAAAGAATAACTCCAAATCCACATCTTGACTTAGTAATCAGTAAAACAACTTTTTATATCAAATTACTATAAAATAAATTAATAATCTTTATAATTTCCTAGCATTTTTTTGAGAAAAGCACTATGTAAGCCTCGGGGAAAATGACTTTGCCAGACTCGTATTTTTAAAGTCCTCGCCTGCGGCTCGGACTTCAAACTCTACTCGTCAGTCAACGTCTTATTTTTCCATCCTCGTCAACAACCTACTATTTATGTGAAGGAGCAAATCCGAGTTGACCTATGTCGAAGGATGCTTGTTTCTTTCTATTTCTTCTACTTACTTATTTCATTTCTGTTTTTGTTTTCTTATTAAATAGTTGTATAGGTAATAGGTATGTATACTTTTTATTTATTTAGGTACCTACCTACCTAGGCCTGCAGGAGCGGCCCATCAAGCTGTACATATTTTTTTTGTAGCTGTTTCTAAGACACGCTATCGAAATGTTCTTTTGAAAACTATTGCAGGGGTACTTGACACCGACCTGTAAGTAGGGTATCGTTAAATAGATCTTTAAAAATTAAGGCGAGGTTTTTTTTAAAAAAATCACAAAGTGATTCTGCCTCGAAGTATTTGCTTTTATGGGGAGTTTTCTCTTCCTAGAACTAAATATTTGAAAAAAAAATAGTTCTTAGTCTGAAGTTACCATAAAAACTATATCGGATACTGTATCCACGCAAGTTTTAAGAAAAATAAAAGTTTTTTAATTTGTGGTTCGTAAGCATACTTACTACTGCAAACAAACCAGCAACGAAATTAGGTAACTTCGTAACGCTGATATTTAACATTGACTACAAACCCTATTTGTGGGCGTGTCTGACACGCTCTTGGCTGGTTTTTTATTTTGCTTTACTATTATGTTGGTACGTGTTCGAATCTCGACTCCAATAAGGGGTGAACCAGTGCAAGAAACTTTTAGTAGATATCATAAGGGCGCAAAACAACACTTCTACGGCGAGGGCGCTTTTTTGAATTCAGAGCGAAGTAAGGGATTCTAGAGTAGAATCCCCGAAGCCATAATACACGGTGTAAGGGACAGCTCTCCGAATACTGAAAGGGTGCATTCCGACCATGAAACTGAACAATTTCCCATATAAATAAATTTCAGGAAACGAAAAAAAATTTTCGACTTCCCATACAAAATCACGATCAACTGATTGCATTTACTATGGGAAGTCAAAATTTTTTTTACGTTTCCTGAAATTTATTTCTATGGAAAGTTGTTCAGTTTCATGGTCTGAATGCACACTTTCAGTATTCGGAGGGCTGTCCCTTTCATATTTCCACCTATGTTCCTTGGGGAAAATGGTTCAGTTTCATTGGCAGAACACACCCTTAACGGATCCGCCACTAATAAAATTACACCCTATATTTTGCGCCCGAGTAATTCACTCTGCTTTTCATCACCCTCTATGAGAAAATAAAAGGCGCCTCATATTTTATTGCAATGTTATACTTTCACTGTCACTTGAACTAATTTTTCAAAAAGTTAAATTAAATTCTAACATAAGTGTAATTTTTGGTGAAAATTACGGACTGTAATTCGCGCGTATCTTTTTTTTAGTTCTATAGGGGACGCGCGACTATGGGCCGTCGTCCCATACAGCCTTTATTCGAACAATATTAGCGTTCTATTTCTTTGGCGCTGACTGAACATCAAGATGTTCTAAATTCAAAGTAGTTTTATTCGCATTTGTTGAGTTCTTTATTTAAAAAGTGCAAATAAAAGAACTTTGCGGCGCATTCTTTTCGAATAGATAGGATGAAAACAACTTTCCCCAAGAAACATAGGTAGTTCAAAA